ATTTTCAAAATTATGATCCACAAGAGGCTTACGATTTCTCCACTCATTCATGGGTGTAGCAAATAATTTCTTAACAAACCATATACAAAAATTAGACTTGAAAATTTCACTCAACTGTTGAACTTAGAATACTAAGATATACATATATAATCTACCAGTGACGCTTCATTCCTTTTTCAATGCTTTATAAATGAAAATGATTTAGTTAATATCAATCATTAAACTGAAATATACCTTAAGATACAAAACTTAGTTTTTACTTTGCCATATCTTAGTAAAAAAACATTACATGTATACATTTTTCAGGTAAAAAAACCAACAAAAAAACCCCACTGAAAATTAGTCATTTTTAATGGCCATATTCGGCAAATATTGGGGGTCAATAGCATATAGATTACACTACATGATTAGTATACGGTAAACCACAATATATATATGAGCCACGTCATGACAAAACCAACATAATGCGTTTGCGACCAGCATGGATCCAGACCAGCCTGCGCATCCGCGCAGTCTGATCAGGATCCATGCTGTTCGCTTACCAACTCTATTACAAGTAGAGAAACTGATAGCGAACAGCATGGATCCTGATCAGACTGCGCGGTAGCGCAGGCTGGTCTGGATCCATGCTGGTCGCAAACGCATTATGTTGGTTTTGTCGTGACGCGGCTCATATATATATTATGTCAAGTTTATATACACACAAAGACAAAAAACTACTTTATTCTCATCACAAGTCATGAATAAAGTAATGCTAACTGAAGCAAATAATTTCACTTAAATTTCTAGAAAATGCTAATCTTACAATCTTATCAATGTACAAACAAAATGTTATATTTTGAATACATGTTTGTGTAAAAATCAGGGGAAAAAAGCTACCTATAAATGCATGATTGTGCACTTGAAAGGGGAATGTTATGATGTTAATTTTGCACTCTGTCTGTGTGTTAATATGGCAATGTACCGGCACTACTAAGAGGCCTTTAATGTTCACTTGAGTTTCATATGAGAATAATATGTAGAAAATATAAAGATGATAAAGATGAAATAAACTTTATTTAATATAACAGATAAATGTGCCTCAAAGAAACGTCACTGGCGTTAAATTATATGTCCCTCACTGCCCTGGGTTGGAATCTGTTCAGGGACATATTCTAATTCTGAACACAGGTTTCTGTCTGTATCTGAAACAATACAGTGTGCATAGAGTGTGCATCTTAAGTTTTCCTTCAAAAGTTTTTATAGTTTGTTACCTTGTAATAGGGAAATCTTGACATTACCACATACAATATACATGTATAATTATGCTATGCTTATAAACATAGCTTTAGGATGCAACAAATATTAATATGAGATTTGATCTACATCAAAAGTGACCACCTGATAAAAAATTGTTTTAGTCAATTTACATAACAGGAAAACCTTACATAAAATTATTGTTTTCTTCATAAACTTCCCCTTCATCAAATATTTTATCTACTTCTTGAAACATGACCCATTTTTAATTTTTTTTACCAAATTTCTTAGATTTGGAAATCTATTTCATCAGATTTTAAATATCTTCATTAATGACTGACCAGACACCACATCAGCTTTCTTTAAACTTCTGCAGTTTATGATAAATTATGTTTTGTTGTTGTTGTTGTATACATGAAGAACTATTAACAAAGTTGTAAGTCTAAAAATTGACTGTGTACTTTACATTTAGATTTAATGATAAACTATAGATTACAGTCCATAGGAGCTAGTCTAAAATTAATATTTTATTCAGGCCAAGGTCAAAACATAAATATGCCTAAAGAAAAAGAACATATCACATATTATGAATATACATAAATAAAATGCATGTTCATAAAACGCATGTATAATATTACATGCTCTATGTGCTGTAAATATAATGAATAAATATATACGAGACACCCTCATTTCTGTAATGGGTTGAATTAACAGAGCTACCCAGTTGGGGTCCTCAAAATAATTCTCGACAAAGGTGCATTTTTTTGGATTGATATGGTAATACAAAACCATAACTTTTATCAGTCATATAACCTTTATAAATTTCATGGCTTCAGTTCAATGTAAAACAGATACTTTTATCATACACTATGACAGGTGTCAAATTTAAGGCCTAATAAAACCTTTAATTTCCTGTTAAAACAACCAAAGCTTGTCACTCAATTTTACACACAATATATGTTTTAAAATCAAATTCAAAAAACAACTGTAAGAAAGCAATTCTTCTTTAGAACTGTTTATTATAAAACAATAAAGTTCAACAGAAGCATGTGTCTACAGATTTCATATGGTAAGAAAGAAAGAAAAAAAAGAAAAAAACTAGAAATGTGTCCATAGGACACGGGTGCCCCCACCGCGACACTGTTCTGTCAATCTTTTTACTAAGTCAAGGGAAATAACTCTACAAATACTGGATAAATCCACATAAGCCCATAAGGTTTATTGACTATGTCAAATCCTTTTTGAGAAACTTGCAACACAAGTTGAAAATTGCAAAAATTTTCTACGTGAAGGGCAATAACTCTAAAAATACTAAATAAATCTAGACGAAAATAGCTGGTGCACAACTGCACATGCTGATCAATATTCCTGTAAAGTTACATGACTGTAGGTCAAATACTTTTTGAGTTATGTGCGACACATGTTGAAAATTGCCAAATTTTACTAAGTCAAGGGCAATAACTCTGAAAATACTAAAAATATCCAGATGAAAATACCCAGGTGCACAACTACACATGCTGATCAACATTCCTGTAAAGTTTCATGACTGTAGGTCAAATACTTTTTGAGTTTCATGCGACACAAGTTGAAAATTGCAAAATTTTACTAAGTCAAGGGCAATAACTCTGAAAATACAAAAAATATCCAGACGAAAATACCCAGGTGCACAACTACACATGCTGATCAACATTCCTGTAAAGTTTGATGACTGTAGGTCAAATACTTTTGGAGTTACATGCGACACAAGTTGAAAATTGCAAAATTTTACTAAGTCAAGGGCAATAACTCTGAAAATACTAAAAATATCCCGACCAAAATACCCAGGTGCACAACTACACATGCTGATCAACATTCCTGTAAAGTTTCATGACTCTAGGTCAAATACTTTTTGAGTTACGTGCGACACAAAAGTGAACGGACGGACGGACGGACGGACGGACGGAAGGACGGACGGACGGACGGACAAGGGTAAATCTAAATGCCCGCCACTAACGTGGGGGCACAAAAAGGCATACATTTTCATATTTAATTTATTGTGTACACAATTAATTCTGCATGACTAGACAATATAATAACAGCAGTGTTTATAGTAGATTTACCAATATCTACCACCATCTGCACTTCAACATGTAAGTTTTACTTTTCCCACTATAAATCACCTTCATTACATGAGGGGAGGAATATATAAGAGGTATCAGTTACACTTTACTGTCTGCAGTTAATTGGAATATTATCAAGAAAATACAAGGGAAAATATTTCTTATTTCAAAGCAAAAATATGCCATAAATTCCACCCAGATCAAATGGATGGTACCAGTATACAACTTCTATTCTATTCTTAATAATAATTAACTCAAACCTAAATGTTTTCATTTAATTGTTGTCAGAGTGTAATGCATTCAAGTCTTGCAGAATAACTATGGTACTTGAAGTTTACTTTATACAACCCTAACTCAATGAATTTAATATAAAATTTAGGACACTGTTGTATGCAGTAATAAATTCCTTATGTGTTGCTGTTATTAACTGGAAGGTTCAACTTCCATGGGGTTTCTCAACAACACCCACCAGGTAGACATTGACGTTGAGGATTACCTATTTCAGTAAAAATTGAAATATTTTCAACAAAATTCAATATGCTACTAAACAAGTGTTTACAAATATTTAAATAATAAATCAATAATTCTCAACATAAGTTGCACACAATGTTCATATATGTTAACTGGAAGTTGGGTTACTTTTAAGTTTTCATTCACCCAGCAAAGTGTACATAGTCAGGTTTTTTTTCAAGTTTTTGAAGTGAAGAATTAATTTAAAGATTTTTGGGGTTAGGGCTGCAATTGAATAAAAATTTTGTATCAAATTATCATCAGCTGAATGTCGATGATATATGGAAATTAATAACAAGTACAGACAGATAAAAACCCTTGTATGTTATAATGTAACTGTTACATACATGTTACAAACATCACAATTACAACCTACTTAAAGAAAGGATGTTTTTATGTTACTTTTTGTAAGTGACCTTCAGGGATCAAGCTTTCCAAGAAAATGGGAGAAAAGTGACCTCTCTTCTGGTAAAATTGAGAAATATTATCACACGGCAAGAGAAATGGGTTTTAAATTGTATATTCTTTATTGTGAATCAATAATGAATTGAATGTTGAATATCGATGATAATTATATGGATAATGCAATATTCAATGACAGCCCTATTTCATGTACTGCTCAGTTACTTATATCTCAGATATTGGTTGACACCCCGAGTAGAGCCACTAACCTATCATGATCTGGCCAAATAGCTTTGTCACATGAAAAAATTCATTCAAAGTTCCAAGTGCGATTCTAACCAACAACGGTGAGGGGCAAGTGATTAAAGCCATTAACCATACCCACATAATCCTGAAGAGACACATTTAGTAGTAAAGAGACAAGATACCAATATTTTGGGTCAGTTTAAATACTGTTTAAACTTTAAACATTTAACATCAAAGCTCTGATATTCAACTATTTTTCTTTAAGTCAAAATAGAAAGAAATCTTTTCGTAACTTTTATAGATACCTTTAGTTGAGAACATGGTGTATTGAAAATACATGCACCATTTACCTAACTTACTTTGTGTAATTGATTTGCCCTGCTTTCACCCAGGACCTTTCCATTGTTACTATGAGGGATTTCAATATTTTAAAGCTAAGGGTGTGGGGGGGGGAAAGAGGGGGAAGGAGAATTATTTGTGATAACTTGATGATAACCCAAGTCTTATACCCTAAAATACCTTAAATGAGTATTCCCTTGTGAGCTATCTTAGAAATTTATTGTTAGTTTTGTTTTACACCTCACCAACACAGTATAGGTCATATAGCAAAGGAAAGAAAGATAATTTTGGCTAACCTCAGGTAGCAACACAAGGGGTCAAAACCACCACACCTGCTGGGGCTAAGAGATGCACAGACTCCACCTACTCAAATCCATTATGTCGCCTCTTAAATTACCATCATGCAGGGATAAATGGTGGCTGCAGTTCTTTTGTCTCAACCTTGAAAGGCAACCTCTCAGCCACAAGGGGCTTGAAATTCTTTCATAATAAAATTATTTCAAAAGCTATTGTTGGCTGTCTAAACTAGATATCAATCAAGATGAATATTGCACCATAAAGAAAATTTCTAATCCAGGTGAAAGGTTTGAAGTTGCCCTTTTCATGCAAATAAAAAAACTTTGAGAAATAATCAAGCAAATTCTTAACAATCTGATCATATAAAAATATCAGGTACAAAATATGACCAAAAATATGGCTTTAGATCTGTTTTATAGGAAATATAAATCATTTAAATTGTTGTCCATTATTTAAAAAAAGTATCTAAATGGTAGAAAAAGTGTTATATAATACATGAAATCAATGACGTGTCTTTAAATAAATATTGAAGGTAAGGTGTCAAATAAATTTAGAGTGTTACATGTTTTTGAAAAAAAAGTAAATACTGGATTGAATACAAATAATAATAAAGCAAAATAACTTTGTACCATATGTATTTCATTGTTCAAAAGACTTCAATCAAGTTTCTAAAATAAGACTCAGTAAGTAACTATTATTACATAAAAACAGTTGGCAAAAATCATGCAAAGTATTTGACAGACAATAGCTGCCAGTTTGACAGTGTGCTCTGAGTCAGGATAATGAAGGAATTCATAAAGGAGAATAATCATTCAAAACCCGTACTAGAGTTATGGGTCTTGGACAGTGACCTACAATTATGATTTCAAAGACATGTGTGAATTTTCTAAATGAATACCTTCAGTTGTTCTGAACACCATAAATCTTGCATGCTAGCCCTTAAAGAATTTTCTGTGTTCAAAAAGTGGCATACTAGTAAATTCAGTTCAAATCCATGCTTGAGTTATAAATTTTGAATAGTGGCATACAATTTTAATTTTGTGTACAAATGTGTAGTTTCAAGTGAATTCCTTCAGTAGTTGCAGATACAGATTTTGCTAGCAAAACTGTAACCAGGAATATATTAAGTTCACATAGTATTATAATCAAGTTAAATTCCATGTCAGAATTATGGGTCTTGAACAAGGACCTTAATTTATGATGACAAAGACATGTATACAGTTACTTAGATATGAATTTGCATCCAAAACTTACACAAATTATTACCCTGATGCCAATTCATAAACACTCTGAAACAATGGTGATAATAACCTGAAAAATTTCTTCGTAACTAAAAATTCAATTCACCATGGAAGAGATCTTTTAAGCATTTTTTTTTTATAACAGCAAGAATGCTTGTGCCTAAATTTCTTTTGGTATGCCAGTCAAACCAAATAACTAATTGATGTCATTACTAACCCTTAATAATATAAGATTATGGCGAATTCTCATAATTTGTACAAAACACTACAATATCATGTATTTCAGGAGTAATTTCTATTTGTTACCCTCAGCCAGAAAGATATATTAAACCATTTAAGTATGTAATCTGGTATCTCTTATTACATAATTTTTCTAGTAGTGAAATATTATCGTATCAACCATCCACTGATTTAGTTATGATTTACATTATGATTTTTCAATATATTATACAAATCTTAAATATATTGCTACATCATCATGCATTATTCCTTAAGTTAAGTAAAACTAAAATTCAGTTAGCAGATTATCCATTTTTGTTTTTAAAACAAAACTCATTAAATTGAAATCATTCAATTACACATAACAAAGACTAGCAAATATCTGTAATCACAGCTTAGAAGATACCCTTCTAATATGTCTTCAATCTTATTTCAGTTTCTTTTAAAAAAGGCGGTAATATCTCCAGAATTTACGGCTGTGCCGAGCTTTCTCACTGTGGCTCGTTTTGCCGCCTGTTGTGCCGTGACTTTCTGATGACAGATGACACATAATGTACGTAGATTATCAATGTCACACTGACCACCTCCTTCCCAAACTGGTTTGATATGATCCGCATGCCAAAACTAAAAAGCAAAGAATCATCTTTAGAAAAATCATAACAAGAGGGCCATGATGGCCCTGAGTCGCTCACCAGAAACAACTGCTTTCCAGTGTTGGAATGTCAATATATTCTAATATTAAATTTGAGCATAGAATATGTTTAAACAATAATTTGAAGAAATGCCATGACCTTGGGTATTTAAGCTTTAGCTTAAAAGGGGCTAATCAAATTAATATTAGCAAACTTGATAAAAAACTACTTAAGAATGCTACAAAGTTTGGTGATCATCTATCAATTATTTCAGTAGGAAATGATGTTTGAAGGTTTTTTTCTATTATTCTATTTTTAGCTTTAGTGGCCCCTAAAAGGGGCTAATCAAATTAATATGAGCAAACTTGATAAAAGAGTACCAAAGAATGCTACAGACAAAGTTTGGTGATCATCCATCAATTGGTTCTGAAGTAGAAGATGTTTAAAGGTTTTTCTATTTTTAGCTTTAGCGGCCCCTAAAAGTGGCCAATCAAATTAATATGAGCAAACTTGATAAAAGATTACCCAAAAATGCTACAGACAAAGTTTGGTGATCATCTATTAATTAGTTCTGTAGGAAAAGATGTTTAAAGATTTTTCTATTTTTAATACTAGCAGCCCCTAAAAGGGGCTAATCAAATTAATATGAGCAAACTTAATAAAAGACTACCCGAGAATGCTACAGACAAAGTTTGGTGATCATCCATCAATTAGTTCTGTAGCAATAGACGTTTAAATGTATATCTATTTTTAATTTTAGCGGCCCCTAAAAGGGGCCAATCAAAATAATATGAGCATACTTGATAAAAGACTACCCAACAATGCTTCAGACAAAATTTGGTGATCATCCATCAATTAGTTCTCTAGAAATAGACATTTAAAGGTATTTCTATTTTTAGTTCAAGCGGCCCCTAAAAGGGGCTAATCAAAATAATATTATCGAACTTGATAAAAGACTACCTAAGAATGCTACAGACAAAGTTTGGTGATCATCCATCAATTAGTTCTCTAGAAATAGACATTTAAAGGTATTTCTATTTTTAGCTTTAGCGGCCCCTAAAAGAGGCCAATCAAATTAATATGAGCAAAATTGATAAAACACAACCCGAGAATGCTACAGACAAAGTTTGGAGATCATCCATCAATTAGTTCTGTAAGAGAAGATGTATAAAGGTTTTTCTATTTTTAGCCCTAGAGACCCCTAAAAGGGGCCAATCAAAATAATATTAGCAAACTTGATAAAAGACTACCCAAGAATGCTACAGACAAAGTTTGGTGATCATCAATCAATTAGTTCTCTAGAAATAGACATTTAACGGTATTTCTATTTTTAGCTTTAGCGGCCCCTAAAAGGGGCCAATCAAATTAATGCTACAGACAAAGTTTGGTAATAATCCATCAATTAGTTCTGTAGAAATAAATGTTTAAAGGTTTTTCTATTTTTAGCTTTTGCAGCCCCCAAAAGGGGCCAATCAAATTTATATGAGCAAACTTGATAAAACACTACCCAAGAATGCTACAGACAAAGTTTGGTAATCATCCATCCAGTAGTTCTGTAGAAGAAGATGTTTAAAGGTTTTTCTATTTTTAGCCCTAGAGACCCATAAAAGGGGCCAATCAAATTTATATGAGCAAACTTGATAAAACACTACCCAAGAATGCTACAGACAAAGTTTGGTGATCATCCATCCATTAGTTCTGTAGAAGAAGATGTTTAAAGGTTTTTTCTATTTTTAGCTCTGCTGACCCCTAAAAGGGGCCAATTGGAATGACATGAGCAAATTCAAGTGTGACTGTCACAAGGATGCCACAGACCAAATTTGAAGTAAATCTGTCCAGTAGTTTCAGAGAAGAAGACGATTGTTGATGCATGACGACAGACGCCGGAGCATCCCCCTTTGATACTAATAGCTCACCCTGAGCCTTCGGCTCTGGTGAGCTAACAAAAAGTAGTCCATGTCTTACACTTTCACCAAGCCAAATTTATGAAATAAGATTGACTCCTTGATAAAAGACTACCTAAGAATGCTACAGACAAAGTTTGGTGATCATCCACCAATTAGTTCTCTAGAAATAGACATTTAAAGGTATTTCTATTTTTAGCTTTAGCGGCCCCTAAAAGAGGCCAATCAAATTAATATGAGCAAAATTGATAAAACACAACCCGAGAATGCTACAGACAAAGTTTGGAGATCATCCATCAATTAGTTCTGTAAGAGAAGATGTATAAAAGTTTTTCTATTTTTAGCCCTAGAGACCCCTAAAAGGGGCCAATCAATATAATATTAGCAAACGTGATAAAAGACTACCCAAGAATGCTACAGACAAAGTTTGGTGATCATCAATCAATTAGTTCTCTAGAAATAGACATTTAACGGTATTTCTATTTTTAGCTTTAGCGGCCCCTAAAAGGGGCCAATCAAATTAATATGAGCAAACTTAATAAAACACTACCCAAGAATGCTACAGACAAAGTTTGGTGATCATCAATCCAGTAGTTCTGTAGAAGAAGATGTTTAAAGGTTTTTCTATTTTTAGCCCTAGAGACCCCTAAAAGGGGCCAATCAAATTAATATGAGCAAACTTGATAAAATACTACCTAAGAATGCTACAGACAAAGTTTGGTAATAATCCATCAATTAGTTCTGTAGAAATAAATGTTTAAAGGTTTTTCTATTTTTAGCTTTTGCAGCCCCCAAAAGGGGCCAATCAAATTTATATGAGCAAACTTAATAAAACACTACCCAAGAATGCTACAGACAAAGTTTGGTGATCATCCATCCAGTAGTTCTGTAGAAGAAGATGTTTAAAAGTTTTTCTATTTTTAGCCCTAGAGACCCATAAAAGGGGCCAATCAAATTTATATGAGCAAACTTGATAAAACACTACCCAAGAATGCTACAGACAAAGTTTGGTGATCATCCATCCATTAGTTCTGTAGAAGAAGATGTTTAAAGGTTTTTCTATTTTTAGCTCTGCTGACCCCTAAAAGGGGCCAATTGGAATGACATGAGCAAATTCAAGTGTGACTGTCACAAGGATGCCACAGACCAAATTTGAAGTAAATCTGTCCAGTAGTTTCAGAGAAGAAGACGATTGTTGACGCATGACGACGGACGCCGGAGCATCCCCCTTTGATACTAATAGCTCACCCTGAGCCTTCGGCTCTGGTGAGCTAACAAAAAGTAGTCGGCCATGTTTTACACTTTCACCATGCCCAAGTTATGAAATAAGATTGACTCTGTTTTGAATTGGGAAGCATCAAATAATAACTTAAATGATATCGAAATACTCAAATTATGCTGTTAACAGGAAAGTCTTGTCGGCTTGGCAGTATACCTGTAGCAAACACAAGTCATTGTATCAGAAATTGTGACATAAAACCCAATCAAAAAAAGTATCAGGAATTAAATTGTTCTTTTATTTAACACTTGATGTGAAATTTTGGAAAAACTTGTGTGGAGAGAGGAAATGGTTAAGTCCCAGGCAGCCAACTGCCCATATTCATCAATCTAATAACCAGAGTTTTGGATTCATCAAAAAGATCTCAATAAACACTGTTTACCTGTCCAGCAGTTGGCTTTCTGACCATCTGTTCTTTGATCTTGACCGTCAAACTGTTGAATTTGCTACTAGTTATAAACTCAGCTCTCTTTCTTTGGTCAACAGTATCTCTAGAATAACAAGCAATTATCATAGTATTGCAAGCAATCCATAAGTCCCCTACCGGTAAGAGCCAAAGCAACATTCTGAAGGGCCATTCACTTAGGTTCCTATTTTAAGTAAATTTGTTGAAAAGTTCTTTAAAAGTGATCGCAGGAAACAGTTTTTATGTACAGACAGACGGACTGAAGGACACTCTAAAGTTATTTTTTAAACATCCCTGTTATCAAAATATAACATTTTTAAAATCCTATCATGATTGAAGAAGTTGGAGTAAAAATTACCAATTTCTCAAAAAAAAGTCTAAGTTCAAAAGGGGTATAATTCTGGAAATAGTCTTGCTAGAGTATTGAACACTCACAAATGTTGAGTGACAATAAGAAACATTTATATGAAGTAGATACATTCAGAAAAAGAAGTTATTAAAAAAAACAATGGTTTTTTCATGAAAATTTTAAGTTCAAGGGAGGTAATTCTGATAAATTTTGTACTAGAGTTGTAAACCTTAACACATATGATGTGGTTGATGACAAGCAACTTATATTTAAAGTTTGAAGAAAATACCTTAAGAAATAAAGAACTTATAGTGAAAAAACTTAAAAACTAGAATAAGAAATCTTGAAATTCAGTCTATTTGTTGCCATAGCAACCAGAATTTTCAACATAGAAAGATAAGAAAAGGATGTGCATAATTTCCATACTGCCATCTACCCATATGTCAAGTTTCATAAACATATTTTCAGTACTTTTTGTGTTATCACTGGATCCAGGTTATGTGTAAAATTTGCCATATTTTCAGTCTATTTGTTGCCATAGCAACCAGAATTTTCAACATAGGAAGAAAAGAAAAAGACATGCATAATCTCCATACTGCCATCTATCCATATATCAAGTTTCATAAAAATATTTTCAGTACTTTTTGCGTTATCGCGGGATCCAGTTTTTGTGTAAAATTTGTCATATTTTCAGTCTATTTGTTGCCATAGCAACCAGAATTTGCAACATAGGAAGGAAAGAAAAAGACGTGCATAATCTCCATACTGCCATCTATCCATATACCAAGTTTCATAAAAATATTTTCAGTACTTTTTGCGTTATTGCGGGATCCAGTTTTGTGGACGGACGGACTGACGGACGGACAGACGGACAGACAGACAGACAGACGGACGGAGGGTAAACCTAAAGTCCCCTCCGGTAAACCGGTAGGGGACTAATAAATAAGATGAATAATTTATATAAAATATTTCATTAATATGATCTAAAACTATTAACACTTGTAAGATGATTCCCAAGGTAAGGTAGGGTAGCTGGTGAAATTTTTAAGAAGTATGTTAAACATTTCAGATTAGTAATATAATATTGTATATATATATATAGTAGCTGAATAAGGACATACATTAACACCTTTAAGAGGACAACAAGATCATTTTGGACATGAATTTATACCCTATATGAAGGCAAATATGCCATTAGGACATAAGCAATAACATCTAGGACACTTCATAATGAATTTATAACTACTGTGAACACCGTTTCGGATATTCATTTGACAATTTAGGACATCATTATATTAACACTATTTAGAACATATAACACTTTAATTTAGGATAAGCAATAACAGATATAAGAAAATTACTAACATGACATCCTAGACTGAAAGCATCGCAAGTTGTTCTTTTTGACAAACAAATTTTAAATTGTAAATATTTAACAGTAGGCCTATACCAATGCAGTAAAGGTAGACTAGTCAAAACAATTTAACATGAAATCTTATGCAATTATTAAAAGTTGAAAAAAGTAATCATAGTATTTATCAACAAGAGCTGTCGGTAGGACAGCAACGCTCGACTATTCTTAGTGCTTGATAGTAAGAAAAAATGCTTGATACAATTACCTCCTCCTGTTTACAGGTTGGGGTAATGATGGTGAACAAGTGTGCAAAGTTTCAAAGCCATATGTCAATGGACTTTGAAAATATTTGAACTATTACAAAAACTTTAACGTAAATTCTAAGTCGAAAAAGGAGCATAATTCTGTCAAAATGCTTGATACAGTTACCTCCTCCTGTTTACAGGTTGGGGTCATGATGGTGAACAAGTGTTCAAAGTTTCAAAGCCATATGTCAATGGACTTTGAAAATATTTGAACTATTACAAAAACTTTAACGTAAATTCTAAGTCGAAAAAGGAGCATAATTCTGTCAAAATGCTTGATACAGTTACCTCCTCCTGTTTACAGGTTGGGGTCATGATGGTGAACAAGTGTTCAAAGTTTCAAAGCCATATGTCAATGGACTTTGAAAATATTTGAACTATTACAAAAACTTTAACGTAAATTCTAAGTCGAAAAAGGGGCATAATTCTGTCAAAATGCTTGATACAGTTACCTCCTCCTGTCTACAGGTTGGGGTCATGATGGTGAACAAGTGTGCCAAGTTTCAAAGCCATATGTCAATGGACTTTGAAAATATTTGAACTATTACAAAAACTTTAACGTAAATTCTAAGTCGAAAAAGGGGCATAATTCTGTCAAAATGCTTGATACAGTTACCTCCTCCTGTCTACAGGTTGGGGTCATGATGGTGAACAAGTGTGCAAAGTTTCAAAGCCATATGTCAATGGACTTTGAAAATATTTGAACTATTACAAAAACTTTAACGTAAATTCTAAGTCGAAAAAGGGGCATAATTCTGTCAAAATGCTTGATACAGTTACCTCCTCCTGTCTACAGGTTGGGGTCATGATGGTGAAAAAGTGTGCCAAGTTTCAAAGCCATATGTCAATGGACTTTGAAAATATTTGAACTATTACAAAAACTTTAACATAAGTGGTTACGCCGACGCGGACACCAACGCAGACGCTCGGGTGACTACAATAGCTCTACTTATTCTTATCGAATAGTCGAGCTAATAATAAAAGGTAATTACAATGTACTGTATGTTCAAACCAATAAATCTGAATCAATTTAGTCAACTCATTTCTAAGACCACTTTATAAATTCTTCATTGAGAATGTTGCATGATGACAAATATTAGTATATTTACCTTATCTTTCTGAAGAGAGAGTGGGCATCAAACTTGCACATTTGACATACACCATGTTCAGCTTCAAACACACGGTCCCTCATGTAGTCATTGTTCTCACCCTTTAAAAATACAAACAATTGCCATCTTTTAAATGCAGAAAAGGGGAACTTTTATAAATTTTTAAAAGGATTTTTAACCTTTTTTGCACTAAGGTCACCAAAAAAATTTTCTTTTTCTTTTATAAAACCCCCGAAAGTTTATATTATAAATATACATGAAAATACATATATTTCACGTAACTTTTCATAATACAAGGGGATTTCCATTTTCCCAAAATTTTAAATATGTAATAATTATGATGGTGTAAAGTACTGGTACAAACCACTCAATTACATAGTTAAATAATATAATGAATAAATTGGTTCCAGAAAGTAATGTTATAGCCAATTGGTCAATTACATGGTTAGGTAATGTAATGATCAGTAAAGACAAAATAATTATAATGTTCTAGAAAGTAATGTAATAGCCAGTCAGTCAATTACACGGTTAGGTAATGTAATGATCAGTAAAGACAAAAGAATGTAATGAACATGTAAATTTAGTTGTTAATTTAGTCAATAGCTCCCGATTTCATGATTTTGAAACTATGAATAAAACCAATTTTGTTCATAATTTTATTAACTCTTTAATAACCAGCTTGCTTAAACTGATTCTACCCATTTGACCAGTGCTGACCAAGATCAGTCCATACCATCTCATCATGATCTGCACTGTTTGCTATTCAGTCATTACATGTTGTAAAACTTCCCTAAAATGTTGAATGGTCTAGTGGACTCCACTGAGGTTTTTTGACATGACAGGACTGGAAATAATTTTTTGGGATTATTACTCCATCTGATGTAGACCTATACTAATAACCTATGTACAAAATTTCAGATCATAAGTTCGCTCTGTTTTTCCAGAATAATTATTAAAATAGTGAAAAATGACCCAAAATTGAAAAGCGTTTAAACGCTTTTCAGTCAATAGCACAAACATATGATTTTCAATGTATTCCTTAATTATAATTTATTTATATTTCTGTTTAAGTGCTCATGCTAATCTATGTGAAAAATTAAATTTTTATGTTTTTAGGCTTATATACCTCAGTGGAGTTCCTTTAAAGATGAACAAGTCAATTTAAGATACCGGTATATAGCAGGGTAAGAAAATATGATAAACAAGATCATCAAGGAAAGGCGGCGTTCAATGAACGCAGCCCCCACCCGACCCAGCGGTAAGAGTTCATCAACAATTATAACCATGCTAATACAATACAATATTAAATTTAAGCATGGCTGAGTGGTTAACACTAGTGATCTAAGGATACCGGCAATAATTTGCTGCCACAGCATTGATGTGCCAGCTGATCTTGGTGGCACTGGTCACATTGCTGCCAGCAGGGTAAGAGTAAAGCACTGTCCTGCTATCACATTCTACTATGCTGCCTAGTTAAATCAGATGATAAAATTTGTCCTTTTTCATACATATATGCATCACCGAGCGTAGATGGTGAGTGATTGCTAGTGACTGGGTATGACCATCTATGATCTAAAATTCACCAGGTGCATAATTTCTTCAGACACCACTCAGTAGGCTGCACTTATAAGACGCACTTATAACTTTTTGTCAAAATATTCATGACAAAAACTGCGTCTTATAACTGCGTATGTATGGTAAGACATATTTTATACTTGTTTGACTACAGTCTTATTATTACTGTAACAACAGTTAGTACTAAAGTTTGTCCTAATATAAATTATATTTTGTATTTTGATCAATTTCCTTTACTCTAAGGTTGGCATATAATACATCATATCTACATAGTTTTTATTCCTCTGCCAGCACTGGTTTCTACAGTAACAGGCCTGTCCTGAACATCTCTGTAAAGTTGTCAGTTCAGATTATCTCATCAGTTGCTAAGGTTTTTTTTATCTTGATACAGAACCCCATTAACTTATAATGGACTGCTCCAAAATCAAAGATGGGCCATTCCATTCACTTAAGTTGGGGTTTTCAAAGAATTAATTAAATTGACACAGAAAAGTGTTACTTCTGCAATTGATTCATACAATAGCAGGACTATACATAATACAATGTATAAATAATTGATTTATATAACACAAAGTCTATTATCTACACACAGAGCACTTGTCAAGTGATAAATTCAACAATTTCATATACATGAATATTGACAATCAATAGAAGTGTCTTTATTTTAATTTCACTTGTTTACATCAATAATTGTGAACATTTTGATTCTCTACCACATCTTTATCTTTTGACCTGTGAGGTACGATAAAGGAAAGATATGATAAACTGTGCTGTGTGTATGTGTGATATATGTTTATTTAAAATCGCCCCCAGAGATCTACCAATATATAATTTTATGGGTCACTCACTCTAGAGGACTGTTAGTTATATCATTTTTTCAATCTAGTGCAATGGATATAGAACAGTCTTACTCTAAAATTAAGAATATTTTGAGTTTTTCCAGCTAATCTTGGGCTACAAACAAAACTTTTACAGCCACTGAGCTTCAAACATAAGTGCAACAGGTTGACTTATTCATTGTGAATGGTAGTGCACTGTGAAGCCATTTTACCAATGGTAAAAGTTTGTATCGTGGGAATTAGCTTGGAAAAACTCATATTTGCTGAGTTCCAGATCACAGCAATTTACCCTAAACCAGGACAAACTGATTCTTTAACATATAATAAATTATGAGCCGCGTCACGACAAAACCAACATAGTGTGTTTGTGACCAGCATGGATCCAGACCAGCCTGCGCATCCGCGCAGTCTGATCAGGATCCATGCTGTTCGCTATCAGTTTTTGCTACTTGTATTAGAGTTTGTAAGCGAACAGCATGGATCCTGATCAGACTGCGCGGATGCGCAGGATGGTCTGGATCAATGCTGGTCGCAAACGCACTATGTTGGTTTTGTCGTGACACAGGTCAAATGTTATTTAAAAGACTTTTTTTAACTTTAGCTGGAGTAATGGGGTATCAAACTCGTCACCCCTGAATTTGTTGTCATACAGTGTAACCACTAGATCACTGCTCGTAGTTGTCAAGACATTGTATTAATATAGCCACAGCCCATTACCACTAATTTGTAATGGTAGACACATACTTAAGAGTTAGATTAACTGTCTCAACATGCAACAGAAATTTTAATTATTTTGTCTAAATATAAGTCTGAGTTCAAAGTAAATTTATAAATGAACTATTGCCCACTGATGGTTTTAGTACAACACAAAAAATACTCCTAATAATTATACTTTAAAGTTTCCCATTTTTGTAAAAAATAAATAAATAAAATAATTGCAATTTTTTTCATTTAAAATTAAGGGGAAGCAACTACCTAGAAATCAGTTCACAAATCAAAATACAATGTATACAGAGTTACACATCTTAAATTTGAAATCATTGTGGTTTTCCATTTTGTTTTAATTTGGCAGTGAGAAATATTATATCGGTTTTCCATACTTATGCATTTTCATTGAGTTTGCAATAATTAAATGAGACAAGAAAAAAAAACCACCATGAATAGTAAATAACATACTAGAAAATTTCCATAACGGAAATTCAGTAGTAACTTTGTATTATTCTTTCTTACATTTTTGATTGTTGGGGAAGTTTTAATATCTAAATAATTTTATTTCAGTCAAATTTTCATCCATATCAGGTATGCCTAATAGATAGTCATAAAAGGTAGTAACCACTATATATAAGGCATTAGTTAACATCATTAACATGTGGACCGGAGAGAGCTGGTTATCTATAATTTCTAAACATCCAGTGCTCACCATTAGTCTTACATTACCTTTTATTTTTTATGAAATAATGATTTTTTTTAAACTGTTACATATATTCTTAAATTTGTATCATGCTGTGTCCTGCAGTGATTTGATCATATTCTAGGATAGCAAGATCAAAATATAAAACAGAGCTGAGGTATACTGAAATGATGCTTGACATTTCAAAGGTCATTATTGTTAATTCCAAGCCCTCAGACTCCCTTTGCATTTTAATATTCAAAGTCCCTTCCTTATATAAAAAACATTGTTCCATTACAAAAGGTGAAGATAGCAACAAAAAATTTACTCATTATTTTAAAAGTTAAATTTATATAATGAACCTATTTCTCATTTTAAATAACAGTCCTTTGTCTTGGAATTCCTTAATTTAAAACCCCCTACTGAAATTTAGTATTTCAGATGGATGTCAAAATACTGATACACATTTCAAGAAGTGAAAGTCACTGAATTCTGTACATAACACATCAATACCATTCTGAAATCAGTCTGCAATCATTTGAATGAATGACTAAACATAAATGTACTTTAATATCATGTTTAGCATGTGTTTTTTCTTATCTTCAATTATTTTGCATTATCAAAAGTTACATAACTCTGTAACACTTATTTTATTTCATATAAAAAAAACACAAAAAAAACACAACAAAAACTGATATTGCTGTGAATGTATGAGCCTTCAAGTAGTAAGAAGTCACCTGATTAAAACCTCCTACCATCCTTTTGTTAACTTTGTAGCTTCTTGGCAAGGAAGAATTACATTTGTATACCTCAAATGTCAACATAATTATTATGATGAAAAAAAAATGTATATCTGTTTTATTTTCAATTATCACAATATAAGACTGTGGGTGGGGTGGGGTTTTATTTCAAACACACTGTAAATGACTTCATGTACTTTACCAGCTCCATTGACTACTGCAATTGAGCTGCTAAAATATAATCTGACCAGACTTCAACATATAGCATGGTTTATTTAGCAGGTTTAAACCTATATCATTATATGCGTACACTAGGTTATTTTGTGTTTCTATTAAATATAAAATAGAAATTAATATTGATTAATTTTGGGCACAATTAAAACTGTTGAACATCAACAATACTTGTCCCCTACTGGTGCAAACTGTCAAATTGGGGTAGTAAAATAATGTTTAAGTCAATTTTCACCCAAATATGTGTCACATTTCTTAGATGTTTGGACAATTAAAGATTATATATTTGTTTCAAGGGAAATAACTACTGAAATTTAATTCACAATTTAAATATACAGAGTTACACATCTTTGAAACTTTAAAAATATTGGTTTCCAATATAAATTTGAACTATAAATATGTATTGTTGTCTATTTATATACATTAAACTAATTAATTAAAACAAGAAAAAATAATTCCATGAATACTTAATAATAAATAATACAAAAAGCAATGCTGAAGTCAACAATAAATAAGACATGTATTATCTCTGCTTTAAATTTCTTTTGTTGCTAAATTTGTTTAAGGCTAAATGTAAATTACTTTATTTCAGTCAAATTCTCATCTAACTTACAGATTGTCATAAAAGGTAGTAACCACTATATATAAGGGTTTAAAAAACAACATTAACATGTGGACCGGAGAGAGAGCTGGTTATCTATGATTTCTAAACATCCAGTGCTCACCATTAGTCTTACATTACCTTTTGTATTCTTGATTTTTTTTTCATTTACACTTTTCATTTTGTATTTATGACATTTTTTTTACATACTTCTTTTCACATATAAAAACTCACCTTGCTAAACTTGTTTCATGGACTTGCCCGGCTCACAGTGTACGTGAGAACTGACCATGAATTCTTAATTTCTTGAATCTCAATTACAGAAAATAAAATAGAAGGAGAGGACAAAATTAATGTCAAACATCAAGATGTTTTTTAAGTATCTACAAGTTTCGGTCCTCGAAGACCTTTGTAAGATTTCTACTGACACTGTTATGGTCATTTGATGAATTTTCACATTCAGTAGAAGTTCACTTCTTTTACATTAGTGGGCACTCATGTAGAATAATCTATCTTCCATTTGTTAGCTTTAGATATTTTTCCTATATGAAAGGATTTATAAATAAATGGCTGAATTCCAACTACAATGAATTACAAGTGATATTCAATTAGTGACCTTCATAAAATAAAAAACACAATAAAAGTTGGTAAGATGGGAAGATTCAAACATCAGTATGGTATCTAGTAAGACTTATTAGTATGCAAACCAGCCAGGACTATATTCTGTAGGTATAATAATAGTTTTAGTACATCGCAAATAGCACTAACACAATTTTCTGAGATATTTGAATTCAATTTAAGTAAGTTTTAACCCTTAAACCATGAATTTGTGTGATATATTCGCCCTTCTTTGAATTTAATGCAGTCCATTTTCAAAATTCTACTATAAGCAGTTTTGGGACTGGACCTTCATACAGGCCGGCCATTATACTGGTGACAAAAGCTAATCACTTTTAGTTCCAGCAGTTGTTGTATCTGGATGTGGGTGTAATGTAGTGATTTTCACACATCTTTTGTTCATTCCAAAAAGATCTTTAATTGAAGGGAAGCAACTACTAAAATCAATTCATTAAATGAATATACAGAGTTACTCATCTTTGAATTTGACACTTGGTTTCCCTGTTTACTAAAAATATCAGATAATGACACATCTTATTTATAAATAAACAAATTAAATGAAACAAGGAAAAAATTTTCATGAATAATAAATAAAAAATAAAAAAAACAATTAACAAAACTTAAAGTATGTTTCTATTTCCGGTTTTTGTTATTTATTATTTCATTCATAGATATGTTTCAGCTTTGTAACTTAATGTACTTTATTTCAGTCAAATTTTTATCCATATAGATAGTCATAAAAGGTGATAACCACTATATATAAGGCATTAGTAAATATCATTAGCATGTGGACCGGAGAGAGCTGGTTAACTATGATTTCTAAACATCCAGTGCTCACCATTAGTCTTACATTACCTTTTGTATTCAGGAAATTTTTATTGTTCATTTACATTTTTATAATAAATGTATAAAAGACTTTGTCATTGCCGAATTTGTTTAACAGACTTTTAATGCTGTAAATTTGAAATTGTTCAAGGCATGTAATATTTGCCTTTATAGGCGTGTCATTGAAAACTGACTCATTTTCAGTGTCTGAAAAAAATTACTCATTTTAACAGTTTACTGTTCTTATTTTATATATGTGATAAATAGAATATTATATTCGTGTAGATTCAATACTAAATTTATTAAACTCGTTGAATAAAACAATATTATGCTCGCCAGAGGCTTGCATAATATGATTTTATTCAACTCGTTCAATAAATTTAGTATTAAACTACACTCATTCAATATCCTCTATTTATTCACATTAACACTGCTTAGTTTATTTACTAAATTTTGAGGTAATGCTTAAGGAACCCTATGTCAGCTTCCCTTTATTTACTGGCAACTCTATTAGTGAAAGAATGGAAACCAACAATCATGTGACAAATGATATAAAGTCACCACACTTAACAAATTAAACAGCAGTTATACATTGTATAAAGACTGGAAAAACTGTACAGCTCAAACAGCCACAGATGGTCAAGTCAGACTATTTTTGGTGTTCAAATTGACATAATCAATATCATATTGGCATATACCTATCATATCACTGTAAGCCCTAATTGATAAATATCTTATATAGATTAATCCTTTTTTTAATCTGGACAAATGTTCTGTCTTTTTAAGAGAAATTTTCAAAATAATAAACATATGAACAGTGCAGACCATGATTGGACTAATCTTGTTTAACAAAAATTCAGTTGTTCCCAACAGGGTAAAGGTTAGTTAAAAGTTTAGTTAAATGTTAAATTTTCTGATAATGTTTAACCTATTTTAGTATGTTTAAATCTATTAAAATTTTGTCTATATATATTTTATATTCATTTTTATCTACAAAATACTAACTTAACTGTTTATTTTGCTATTGACATCATCAGTTCCAAAACAGTTTGTAATTAAAACATATGTTAAGCCACAGCTATAATAATACGAAATATATGCCCATTTATTCTTGTTGGACACATTATTTTTCTTTCATTCACATATACCGTAATTCTATATACATGTACCTTGTTGCTTATTTAGAAAAAAAACGACTTAAAGATATACTATGCTCATCCTTGTGTAAAATATTTTTATCACAGAAATTTATTGAAATCTATGTAATTTTACCGAATATGTCCAATTTGAACAAAAGAATGAATAAATTATCAATTGGAAGCTGTGTGCCCTATTACAGGTCAAGTATAATTGGCCTTTTCTTAAAAAAACTGCCAGTTTTTTTAACGACACTGTAATTATATTCATATTGTAACCACCTATAGTGTGTAGAATCTAAAACACAACATATCTACTTTATGTGAAGTTTAAATATGTTTATTTTATATTTACAAAGAGACCGTGTAGCAATTATAAATATTTTCAAATATGAAATTGAGTATAGTCTATCTTTAAGGGGAAGTAACTGCTGAATTAAATACACAATTTTAATATGTAGAGTAACACATCTTTGATTTTGACAATATTGGTTTTCCATGTATACTAAAAATATGTATACATGTATTTTATATGACATTAAACTTATTAAATGAGACAAGAAAATTAACCATGAATAATTAATCAACCTGATAAACAATTAACAAAACTTTAAGTTGGTTGTAATATTCTGTTTTTGTAATTTATTATTTTATTCATAGATATGTTTCAGCTTGTAACTTATTTTATCTTAGTAAAATTCTCATCCATATCATGTATGCCTTATAGATTGTCATAAAAGGTAGTAACCACTATATATAAGGCATTAGTAAATATCACTAACATGTGGACCGGAGAGAGCTGGTTATCTATGATTTCTAAACATCCAGTGCTCACCATTAGTCTTACATTACCTTTTGTACTCGTAACTTTTAACTTATTTTATTTTTTTGTCAAATTCTCATCTAACCCAAATATGCCTTACAGACAGTCATAAAAATTAATAACCTTCATTTTATGCTTTTCAGTGGATTAATGATTTTTCCGTGAAAATTATCTTTGATAATTTCACAGTGAAAATTATCAAAATATAATTTCACACTTTTCAATGATGAGACTACTTTTTAAGATTTTCCCCATGTTGTACCTCAATTTTATTATTGTTGACAATTCTGACATTGTCAGGGCTGTTTAGAGAAAAGCATAGCTGAAATTGATAAATTACTGAAATTTCAAAATAGTAAAAAGAAGAAAATTTACTTCAATTCATTCAAATTACCAATCACCAAATCAGATGAATTCACAGTATATATTAAATGAGCCGCATCATGACATAACCAATGTAATGGGTTTGCGACCAGCATGGATCCAGACCAGCCTGCTCAATCGTGCAGTCTGATCAGGATCCATGCTCTTCGCTATCAGTTTCTCTACTTGTTATAGTGTCTGTAAGCGAACAGCATGGATCCTGATCAGACTGCGCGGATGTGCAGGCTGGTCTGGATCCAAGCTGGTCGCAAACGCACTATGTTGGTTTTGTCATGACGCGGCTCAAATATCTAACGTTTCAGTCAATAAATGAGGGTGCTGTAAGACATGATCAGAAAGTGTGACAGAAAAAAAGGACCAAACAAAAAATTGAACATACCCAATATTCCTGAGAACATTTCTGAGAGCAAAACCGTGTATTCCAGGCATTGTTTTCATCATGTATTGTAGTCTTGGTGATGAGAGGGTTAGTGTATGGTTTGAAACATTGAAGGCACAAAGGTGTACCATCTTCACTGACAGCCTAAATTATACAACAATAAATCTAAATTACTTAACATGATGAATCAAATTAAATTGAAAATAGTAAGTATAACATAAATAAACTTTATCTGGTACCTGTGAATAAAATAGTGAATATATTCCACTTATATCTGGTACCTATGAAAAGATGTAACTGCTACAATAATATAATACCTAAAAATATTACATGTATAACTGTATAACATCAATGTAGGGATTATACTTTAGTCCAAACCTGCTTTGTGATGAAATTATTTGTTGTACAAACTTCAGTTAATTGTTACAAATTATTTATGGAGAGAAGTTGATAATAACTTGTAAAACAGGATAGTTTGATGGAGAAACCAGCACTTTTTATTAGGTTTTTTTTTGCCTAGGTTTATAATCGCACAGACATAGTTAGGTCATGTGGACATTTCACACCTTTACTTAAGGAGGAACACTCCTAAGTGTATTATTTCAGGCACCTCTGTAGAATAACCTAATATATATGCCTATACTGTTAAACTAACATTTCAAACTATGAAAATACTGTTGTTTTTTTATTGTTATTATTACCTGTGATACACCTGCTTCTCCACTGTTGTCACTATGAACACCAGCATGTTTAGACAGTATTCTAACACTACCATTTATATCCTTCGCCTTCTCATGAGCAGCTTTACTAGCATCAATCTATAAAACAACATATAAAACAACACATAAAACAACATATGAAAGGGATGAAAAATGTTTTTTTTGGTGCCAAAAAAGTTTTTGTTGCATTTTATCCTTTGAATAAAAAGATCAAAGTTGATTTTGACTATGCCTTCAATACAGAGTCAAGCCAGGAATCATATTAGCTGATCAGATTCTATTCTGTTGACTGCTTTATTAAAACCTGGTTTTGAACCTTCAAAAATATATTGACGAAGCCTGGCAAGTACATAGTACAAATTAAGCAGTAAAAGGGTTATGTAATACTATAAGGATCTTACACTGGACACCAGTTCAGACCAGAATATCTAGCTCGTGGGTAACTGTTCAGGACGTTAACGAAGCTCTGCCGAGTTTCCAGCTTAACAGTTACCCGAGATATAGATATTCCTGTCTGTTATGGCAGCCGATGTTTGATTAGGAAAAAGATATCAATTCTGAGTGCATTGTTGTAGAATAATGCATGGTTTGAGTTCAAATGCGTAGTAATATAATCACGAAGACCGATAGGCCTGAGTGATTATTTACATAGCTTTTGAACGAAAAACGTGCATTATTATACAATGATGCACAAAGAATTAATATCTATTTCCATTCTAACACGTCAAGAAAAATTAGAATTATTATTATAAAGTTGGACTTTATGTTTGGTGGTTAAATTTGTTTTCACCTGAGAGTTTCCCATAGAAACGTTCTTTAAAGGCTGTTCCAGTGGATTGAAAAAAACTGTCGTTAAATCTACCGTGTGTAGAAACATTTTGAGAATAACGAATTTTGAAAACGTTGTAAAAACTTTGTTTGTTTATTTTATTTCACTTTATAATTTTTCAAGCGAAATACAAATTATTAAAAGTGAAATAAATGTAAAACTTAACTCGTTTGCGACATTTAAATAGCGTACTTGATTTGATTGTTTTGCACGTGCTGTTTGGCGCTACATTGTGACATCACGTAAACAACACTTTAAACGTCTGTACAGCGTTAACGACTGAATTAAAGATATTGGTGTTCGGATTCATTTTCTTAGTTAGACCATTTTCTTTCATTCTAGATAGCTTTCACAACAAAATTCGACAAAAAATGTTTTTATTTATCAGATTTTTTAAACAAAATGGCACCCTCAATGTGAAAATACACAGGGAGGTAATAAGAACGGCGAGAGCATTGTTGAAGAATAATGCACGCTTTGGGCCTTCTTTGTTTATATAGAAAAAAATCCGATAGTGTTAGAATTCTTTTTTTTGCATATTCCATAGAAATCATATTTCAGAAAACTGATTTTTTCATTTGCCACTTACAGAAGCGTATGAATTTACAACTTAATTAATAACGTCCAAATGATGTCATTCTGAGAAAGCAATTCATTCATAAAAGGAGCATGGGAATGATGTCATTTAAAGCATCTTACACAGAGGTTGTAAAACAGGTTTTTCTAGCACCTGTGTAAACAGTAGATAATCCTGTCAGACAGCTATATCTTATGATTCAAAACAGACTGTACATATTATTTTGCTACATTTAACATTAAAATTTAACATGAAATGTCAAGCAAAAATATACTTGTTTTTCTTTTCATAAATGCATGTAAAAATTATTACTGTACAAAAGGCAACAAATTTTCCAATTACCTTGTAACACTTGATAAAAAATAGGAAGCCAATCTGAGTGATATACCATGATAATAAACAATTATCTTATATAATGAATGATATATATTGTATGATAAACACTGAATGATAAACAATAACAACAGTGAGTGATATACAGTGCATTCTATAAAGTGAGTGACATTCAGTGAGAGATAAACAGTGAAAGATATAGTGTGATGATATATAATGTAATGTACAAACAGTAAACTAAGTTATACTGATGAGTAATATAGAGCATATCTCACATATAACAAGAGCTGTCCAACACCATCAAATATTCTCAGCGCTTGATAGTAAAACAAGAGCCTGGATAATGTAAATTTCTAAGTTCAAAAAGGGCCATAATTTTGTCAGAATCAATGTTGTACTTTTGGAGATACCAACTTGCACATTAACCTTTACCGAAGTGTGACAGACACAAACACCTAGTAGAGCACAAAAGTTCTCCATATTCTTCAAATTGTAAAATTAAAAAGCCAATATCTTTCATGATTTTTTTTACCTTAGTTCTATGTCTTTGTGTATTGACAGTTTTACAACTTTTCAGTTTCTCATACTGTTGTATTGGACTGATAAATGGCTGCCCTGACTTAATTATCAGCCTCCTCTTTGTTTCTGTTAAACTGAAATCAGTAAATCAATTCTGGCATAGAAATAATCCAGTAATGAAAATATACATGTAGATGACCATTTAACACTTGTTCAGTTTGGTCCAGCTATTTTAGCAGAAGTACAGATATTCAGAACTAAACAAGTTGTAATAAAATTGGAACAACTGATAAAGATATAATAGGAACAGTAAATATATCAACACTGAGATAAAATCATAAAAGACGTCTTACAACAACCCAAAAATTATATATGTTGAAAATTAATAAATGAACAAAACAGATCAATTATCTGTAAATACATACACATTTAAGACTTGCACACCATTAGAAAACCTCTGCACCAGACATAAACTGTCACTATGCCTTACCTTTGCCATTCTCTGACAAACCTCTGCACTAGACATAAACTGTCACTATACCCAACCTTTACCATTTTCTGACAAATCTCTACAACAGACATAAACTATCAGTTTGCCTTACCTTTGCCATTCTCTGACAAATCTCTACACCAGACATAAACTGCCACTATGCCTTACCTTTACCATTTTCTGACAAATCTCTACACCAGACATAAACTGACACTATACCTTACCTTTACCATTTTCTGACAAATCTCTACACCAGACATAAACTGCCACTGTGCCTTACCTTTGCCATTCTCTGACAAACCTCTGCACTAGACATAAACTGTCACTATACCCAACCTTTACCATTTTCTGACAAATCTCTACAACAGACATAAACTATCAGTTTGCCTTACCTTTGCCATTCTCTGACAAATCTCTACACCAGACATAAACTGCCACTATGCCTTTCCTTTACCATTTTCTGACAAATCTCTACACCAGACATAAACTGCCTCTGTGCCTTACCTTTGCCATTCTCTGACAAACTTCTGCACTAGACATTAACTGTCACTATACCTTACCTTTACCATTTTCTGACAAATTTCTATACCAGATATAATCTGCTTCTTTGCCCTACCTTTGCCATTCTCTGACAAACCTCTGCACTAGACATAAACTGCCACTATACCTCCTTTATCATTTTCTGACAAATCTCTACACCAGGCATAAACTGCCACTATACCTTACCTTTACCATTTTCTGACAAATCTCTACACCAGACATAAACTGACACTATGCCTTACCTTTGCCATTCTCTAACAAATCTCTGCACTAGACGTAAATTATCAGGATGAAGGAGTAAATCAGGTAGGCCATCATCATTGCCAAACTGGACATCTGATGGTATGAAATTAACATTCAGTGCTTCCTCCTCCTGTGATGATTGAATATAGACAAAATCTTTACATGCTATCATGAAATTATCAAAATGTAATTTTCATACTACATTTGTACATGTTATTTGAAGGGGTCATTACTCACTCATTCAATAACTATGATTCCCATATTTTGTCATTATTTGATTGACATTTTTTGTGAGATATTTTAAAAATATGATGCATACAAGCAGAAAAATTATGCACAAAATTTCAAATTAATTGTATCGATGTGGGGTTCTACCTGGTGCATTCTAAAAGGGTTTTTATATGTTAGCAAATTGACAATTCCTTACAATACACAAGAGCAATTTCTTTTTTGAAATACATGTTGCTTTATATTGCTTGTTACAAAACATGTCTTTTGTTAGACGTCACACAAACACTGGAAATTTTTCAGCTTTACTAGTAAAGGAAGACTTTAGGTTTCCATTAGCTCAATATTTCAGGCAAAATGACCTCAGAGTAGAACTGAAAGAGGTGAAGGGTAAGTGATTTGAATTCAGAAACCTTAATCAGTTGGCCATGACAGCCCAAAATATTTTATTTTTAACATGATAAGATGTTCACATTACCACTTGGTCTGGACTTAAATAGCATTATCAAATATTACTAAATATTCATTTTGTGTAAAGAAGTATATCTGACACAATCTATTATACTCTAGTACCTGACATACTAAGTTACACAATAAATTAATACTTACATTGTCCCAAAAAATGTTTCGGAACATAAAATTAAAACATTTACAAATACAAAAAACACTCACCTGTGTCAGGAGATACACCCTGTCTGTATATTTACTACACTGATACTTCAACATGGTGTAGACAGGGATTGTATCAAGATTCACAATTCTTTTCTCCTCCTTGGTAACTTCATCAGTTCTCTTAGTAACATGATCAGTTTCAGAAGCTAAAATCTCATCCAGTTCTGATGAACTAAATGAATGATCATTACCAGTGTCTAAACTGTTCACATTTTGTCCTTTGTTAGAGAAATCATTAGCTAAATCAGGATTTCGTACACTATTAGACACATGTGCACTGTTATCTAGTGTATTTGATACACTTACATCTTTCTTTTCTACTTCACTACCTATTGTGTCTCTGTTGCAGTTTGCAATATCATTGGCACAATTTATTCTAACTGGAGTGTTATTCCTGGACTCAACATTATTTACTTGAGCTCCAAATGGATTATAAGCTCCAGGGCTGTTTGTTGGATTTGTCCCTTTTCTTATAGATTTAAATTTGTATGTTTTACCAGAAGTGGGGGTGGTGTTTTTATCTTTAGTCAATTTTGTAGTATCTGTATTGCATGTAATTTTGGCACATTGATTATTTTGTTGCACATCAATCTGTTTGATTGTGTTAAAGTTCAAAGTATTGTTAATGACTATTTCTTTTTTCTCTGACTGTAAATGATCTACATCAGTTAATCCATCTTTACTGAAATATTTAGACTGAGAAACAACAAATTTACCATTTGATATATTTGACTCATTAGCCACACCCCCTGTTTCTAAACTGTTTTCAATTCCAGTGTTAGTCATATCTACTTTCCTGACATTTTCAAAATCATCTTCATTTACAACATGATCCTCATTTTCAACCATTTTTTGTTGTTGACAATCTTTGTCTTTTTCATTTACTTGTTTTGACCTCGGATTTGCTTGCTGAACCTTCTCAATGTCAATAAGATCGGTTGAGTCTCCAGCTGTAAAATCATTTTCAGTACCAGGATCAAAATCAAGTGTATCATCTATGTTAACAGTATCCTCTTCATCATCAATATCTTGCATATTGTTTGACACACTTGTTGAATGACTGCATATATCAAATTCTGAATCAGTATCATTTTTTGGTGATTTTTTCACAACAGACTTGGGCTGGCATTTTTTAGGGAGAGGTTTACTTTTCTTTGGTGTTTCACACATTTCACAGTAAGACAAAGCTTTATGATTTAGATAAGTGCATTGACTACAGCTCCAGTCTTTGCTGTTAAATCTTTTATCTTCAGAAACTTTACCAGTATCATCACTACCTTTTGAGCCACCTCTAGATGTAAATTCATCACTTTCTGTAACATTTTCACTCTTATTACGGACTTTGTCAAACATAACATCTAAATTACATTTAGGGGAGATTGATGAACGTTTTACGATTTTACCTTTAACTTTTTTAGAGCTACTTAAAGATTTTTTCTTTGATGAAGTATCAACAAAGTCATCCTCGCCATCACTGTCTAATACAATTATGTGTTCTTGTCTTTTTTCTTTTGTAACTGATTTCTTATCTGTACTAGAACTTTTCAAACGAGAGTCAATCTTTAACCGTTTACTTGCTGGTGTATGACAAGATTCTTCAACACTGCATTCATCTGATGAATAGTTATCCTCGATGCTAGTAATGACTCTTTGACCTGATTCGTCATTTATGGGTTCCGAAGACTCTTTCAGCTTTCTTTTCATTGCTATATGCTTTGGTGAGAAGAAATGTAGAATTGACTTCTGATTTGAATCCTACAAAACATAAACAGTTCTAAACTTTGAATATGGCATTTCAACATTGATATATGAATACAAGTAAGAGTAACAACTGATCAGTTGATTACAGATATTCATGAAGTACTCATTCAAACATTTCTCTTCCTAAATGTTAGTCATTCAAAATAATTGTTTGTATGTTGGATTTTTAGTTACACCAACACTGTCATGGACATATCGCAACTCTTCAGCTTTACTGGTGGAATGAGATCTTCAGTGTCCTTTGTGCATTACTTCAGCCACAAGCAGACACCTGAGCAGAACCAACAACTTTCCAAAAAACAAAAATAAATAAAACTCTTTAACATTGAACAAACAGTTTAACCTGCCTATAAAAATCTGACTAAATGAAATCTCTTAAAAATTCATACCACACTATAAGTTTTAAAATAGAAAATTTTTTATCAGCTTTTTAATGCTTTGCAAATGTGATATTACTTCACATTTGAACTTAAACCCTTTATCATACAGCAACAAGCAATTATCATAGTATTGCAAGCAATCCATAAGTCCCCTACCGGTTAGAACCCCATCAACATTTTGATGGCCCATTGGCAATTCAATTTTACCAGTGGATGAATGACATGAATGAACTTAAATCTTTTGAGTTCTAAGTTTGTCTATATCACAGTAATGTGTTAAGTTTCCCTGCCTAGTAAGGAAATTATGTTTAGACAACCTTGTCATATAATTATGATGTGGGATTTTAAAGTAAATCCTATAAGGAATGAAGAAGTTTGAGTGAAAAATACCAATTTCTAAAAAAAAATCTAAGTTCAAAGGGGGATAATTCTGGAAATAGTCTTGCTAGAGTATTTAACCTTCTCAAAAATGTTGAGTGATAATAAAAAACATATATATGAAGTTTGAAGTAGATACATTAGGAAATAAAGAAGTTATTTAAAAAAGACAACATTTTTTTTCATAAAAATTCTAAGTTCAAGGGAGGTAATAGTGATAATTTTTGTGCTAGAGTTGTAAACCTTGTCACATATGATGTGGTTGATGGCCAGAAACTTATATTTAAAGTTTGAAGTAAACACCTTAAGAAATAAAGAACTTATAGTGAAATGCTGAAAAATTTAAATCAGAAATCTTGAAATTCAGGCTATTTGTTGCCATAGCAACCAGAATTTTCAACATAGGAAGAAAAGAAAAAGATGTGCATAATCTCCAGACTACCATCTACCCATATTTCAAGTTTCATAAAAATATTTTCAGTACTTTTTGAGTTATCACTGGAGCCAGTTTATGTGTTAAATTTGCCATATTTTCAGACTATTTGTTGCCATAGCAACCAGAATTTTCAACATAGGAAGAAAAAAAAAAAAAGACGTGCATAATCTCCATACTGCCATTATTTGTTGCCATAGCAACCAGAATTTTCAACATAGGAAGAAAAAAAAAGACGTGCATAATCTCCATACTGCCATCTATCCATATATCAAGTTTCATAAAAATATTTTCAGTACTTTTTGCGTTATCGCGGGATCCAGTTTTGTGGACGGACTGATGGACTGACAGACAGACGGACGGACAGACAGACGGACGGACAGAGGGTAAACCTAAAGTCCCCTCCGGTTAAACTGATAGGGGACTAATAAACTCAAAACTAAATTCTGTTCCTCAATAGACTCAGGTACGTATATTAACGGTATCCGCAACTAGATTTTAGACTGTGATTGGTGTCGTGCCATTTACGCGCATGCGCTCATGCTACAAAAAACATTAATTGATGGCGGAAGGCAACAATTTCAGTTCATGAAAAAGTATGTTAATTAAGCGCTAATTTATGGGCATCTGCACAAAATACTAAAAAAATAATGACAGGTTAGTCTTGTTACTTTGTTATGTATGTAAATTTTTACTAGATCACGCTTTCAATGGCGTAAATCGGGTTGGAAATATTCCACTCTGGATGAATGAGATTTACAAAATGGCGGAATGTTTGTTTGAAACGAGTGAACACGTATAAAATCTGCAGAGACATCAGGCTTAAACCACTCGAAGAAAACTGACTAAACTTGCACAAATCGGTTTAAAATAAATTCAAGTATGTCATGAAGGTACTTTTAACACTCCCTTATTATCTGTTCTATTGTTTTTGTGGCGTGGAATTTGAAGGAAAATGGTAAATTTTTGTGGTGCAAAATTAAATTCACGACCTATTTTGGCCGAAGCATCAGAGGTATTTAAAGACCTTTAAAATATAAATTAAAGCTGAAAAGTTAGTCACTACATCATAGTAAATGGTTTATGATATTATTTATAATTTTCAGCCGAGTAATTTTGATGCTATGTCTTTTTGAAAATGGATGAATTTTCCCCCATTTTATTTTTCATTTACTCAGAAGTTATATTCAACTTCTTTTTTGTTAGTTATTCTAGGTACGTATATTAACATTAGTACATGGTTATTCTGTGTTGATAAAATAAAATATTTATATTAAATGTCATTTCATCTATTTCAGATCGTAACAAATGTGTTTCAAGGGTTTCAAGTGGTAGATCAGCACGACAATTTCACTGAATGCTGATACAGCCCAAAAGTTCAAAGATTTGCAGCTTGTGCCAGGAGAGTCCCAGAAGTGTCAAATAAATTTCGGGAATAAAGTGACACTAAATGAAAACACTATAAACAGTCATTTTATAGCCAGTGCGATGCTGTTGAAGTTTTATTTAAATCAAGTTATAAAATAAAAGGCAAAACTTATGTGTTTTCATTTTTATTTCTTTTTTTACTACCAGGTACCTGATACTACCATTTCCAATACCTTTATGTCTATTCTCTCAAAAACATGTACGTTCATTCAAAAGAACATGAAAAGATACTGACATATGTAGTGGTGAAACAGTTTACTCAATATAATTGTATAAAAAGCAACACAGAGAATGTGTTTTAAATAAAAACAACTGGATATAGTAATTACAATCTAGCCTTACCCACTTAAAAGCAGTTTCAAACAGGACCGACTGATAGAAAAAATGTGAAAACTATCACAATTGAACAATTAAATAGATGCACATTAATAACCATGATTAAATCAATTACTGAATCTGCAGCAAACATCAATTATGACGATACAATGTACTTATTTTTCACAATACTTTCATAACAAAAAATGTTTAGGCCGTTTTTCAGAAAACGAACATTTTTATAAGAGCTCTTTTCTGGTGCTGTTTGAAAATTATACAATCATACTTTTATTCAATTTTAAAAATAGATAGATAACTTCATTCTTTAAAACAATGTTCAAATAAAAATTCTAACACGACTCGCAATTTTCCCTATTGAACATAGAAAAACCGAAAGTGTGTGTTATTATGCTATAAAATCACTGTTTGACGTTCTATATTTAGACATGTGACGTAATCGTAATACACGTGACGTAACCACTAAAAACGTGACGCGCTGACAATAAGTACTGTAAGAAATCACAGATTGTCATTTCTTAGCTTGTATAATTCGTTGCAGAGTTCATGAAATTGTTAAACATGTAGGCATTTACCTTGTTAACTGTGAGTCTTTAAGAAATATCCTACAATATCACTTACTATGTTACTTAATCTCATGTATTTAATGATTTCCTCCACAGGGGGCCCACACAGTGTTTGGATGGTATATACTGCTTGATAGTGACCTTAAAATGAGATTTTAGTCATAACCTTATAATATGTATATAAATATAGACAAGGGGCATTACTCGCTAAATAGAGAATTTTCGATCACCCTCAAATTCATGCGAGATTTTCCACTAATTAAATAAAAAAATTCCAAAAACTATACTGCGTTGCATAGCTTATATAATCCACAATTGATAAACACTAACTCTTTTCTGATTCCCTGGGCCCATTTAAAAAAATTTATTCAAAACCGTTCACTTCTGTCACAAAATTGCTTAGTCGTACGAGATGTCGCAACACCAAATTCCACGGGTAAAATATCAATTTTAAAAGGGGTAGGTACAAATAAACGCATGCAAACAATAACACAACATAGTTTCTATTACCTACCTGCGCAAATAGTCGTGAAGCGCTCTATATTCGTCTGTTTCGAACGAAATCTTCAAATCAGAGCAGAAATCTGCTTCGACGTAGACATCTTGGGGAAACCCCGGTCACGTCACAAGCCGGTGTATCGAGACCTTTCATTGGTTCGGTAGGAACTTTGTTTATAACGACAACCAATGAAAGGTTTCCATTCACCATGACCAGAATTTCCAACATGTATTCGCCGAAGCAGATTTCTGCACTGATTTGAAGATTTCGTTCGAAACAGACGAATATAGAGCGCTTCACGACTATTTGCGCAGGTAGGTAATAGAAACTATGTTGTGTTATTGTTTGCATGCGTTTATTTGTACCTACCCCTTTTAAAATTGATATTTTACCCGTGGAATTTGGTGTTGCGACATCTCGTACGACTAAGCAATTTTGTGACAGAAGTGAACGGTTTTGAATAAATTTTTTTAAATGGGCTCAGGGAATCAGAAAAGAGTTAGTGTTTATCAATTGTGGATTATATAAGCTATGCAACGCAGTATAGTTTTTGGACTTTTTTTATTTAATTAGTGGAAAATCTCGCATGAATTTGAGGGTGATCGAAAATTCTCTATTTAGCGAGTAATGCCCCTTGTCTATATTTATATACATATTATAAGGTTATGACTAAAATCTCATTTTAAGGTCACTATCAAGCAGTATATACCATCCAAACACTGTGTGGGCCCCCTGTGATTTCCTCCTTACATTTACACAAATTCATGGAGGCTGACATTTTTGTTGTTGTTGTTTGTAGTTGGTGACTCTGCGATTTTTACGTTTATGTGATAATTACTCATTATAGGACTGACTTAACCAATAGGAAATATGCCTTTATATTGTTTCGTCTCAGAAACACTTCACAGTCACTTGAAATTATGAATTATTGTTATATTTTACGATTTTGCTTTTGAATAGCTAAGTTCCATTTCGAG